AAAAACAGAACGGGTAAAAGAGGAGGCACAGGGCATAACAGATTTATAAGATTACGAAAAAGAATAATATTCCAGTATTAGAATAATGTTTCGTGTTTTGTGAAGACTCTCAAAGACTACAAAATAACCACAAAAAAACATGGAAAGTACTCCATCAACCCAGAAAAGTCTTGTGACATTTGTCTGTCTGTTGTTGACAGCAGTAATAGGATAGGTATGATTGCAGATAGAAAGTTTATAATTAATAATTGATTAAATTTCAAATAAGGCTTGATAATGAAACCTAGTAAACCCGTCAAAACTGCAGAACCTTTACTAGTGTTGGACGTTAATATGACTCGGTAGTAAATATTAGTATTTTTGTTTAAACACAAAACTCTCAGGTTTGGAGCATAAAGGAATATACATTTCACTGGGAATAAACCCATATTAAATTTCATTCTTTAAAACTTTTTAGACAAACTGTCTACTGAGGTTGGGGTATCGGGACAAACAAACATAATTTTTGAAGAAAGCACCATTTGAGTGTTAAAAATATTATGGTATCTTTGGTCAAAACTCGTGAAGAGTGCAAGATAATTTCTCTCACCTGCAGAGTTAAAGTCCTTGCACAGTGCCCTCTTATGTAATTGTTTTTTACTAAAACTTCATTGTAAGCTAATCAACCATATCATCACAATATTGGTCTGTTATTGGATGGGATAATAAGTTTTCATCAGTACCTTTGTAATTAATTTTACAAATTTTAGGCCTAAACCCAATTCGACATAGGCTTACCAATAGCAAAAATTATTATACAGATACAGGCAAGACCTTCATTATCCCGTTTATTCTTGGAACGTAATCCACCTTCTATCTTATGCTTTATTCACCTTTCAGTGTGTACTGTAGAAAATGTGTAGAAAAGCTGCATGTTTCTAGAAAAGCTATGTGGAACGCACATGGCAATAAAGTACGTGTAAGTATGACTTAAGTTAGCCCTTTTTCCAGATGTTCCATGAAATGAATCTCAAGAGATAGTGTTGAAACACGTCCATGCTACATCCATTGATATATATATATATATATATAGGTGATTGATTAATGTTTAAATTTTAGTAGAATGTTTTTTTAAATAATGTTTTATTGTCCTTTGGATCCTTTGGTTCTACAAGAATTTTGTGGATTTTTATTACATTAAAATTAACCTAAATTCTCCATTAATGGCAGCAGTTTTCTTTATTTTTCTTTTTTTGTTTATAGATTGTCAAATGCAACTCACTAGCAGGAGGGAGTGAAACATCGGGAATTGAAGGGTGAGATATTACATTTTAATTGGTTAAAGATCAGGAATTGAGGGGTGAGATATTACATTTTAATTGGTTAAAGATCAGGAATTGAAGGGTGAGATATTACATTTTAATTGGTTAAAGATCAGGAATTGAAGGGTGAGATATTACATTTTAATTGGTAAAAGATCTTTTCCTATATTCCCTGTTAATTAAGACAAAAATGTTGAGAAAGTTTAATATTTTGCCAAGGCACAATTTTGAACTTAACTGTTCATTGCTCATGTTTGAAATAACATTATTAACATCACTTAAGGTCTTCTAAACATTGTTAAGCTGGGAAAGAACATTTTTGTATTTTTTGGTATGAGAAAAGGCTCATGGAGCCCATTGTGAAGTCCTGTGTGATGTCTTTATTAAAACATTTTGCTATATATATTTAGGACAGAATTTACGCTCGATGAAGGTGGTGACGTGACATGGAAGGTCCCTGAGAACACAGAACCTATGCCATTCTTTAACTGGGAAACATACGAGGTGAGTTGTATTGGATGTTAAGTTGTACTGCAAGCTTAGAAATAAAAAACATTGTGAAATAAAGTATACCATAGTTCTGTTTGGTTTCTTTCACGTTTAATTGTTTTTCTTTAACAAAGAAACATGTATTCTTGCACAGAAATTTGACTTATCCAAAAAAAAAAACATTTTAAATTTGAAGGTAATATTGTCATTCTTACAAGATGCTGTGAATAATTAGTACAAAATAAATGTGTGTTAGGTATTAACTCATGAAATATCCTTTAATATTTAAGTAGATTACTTTGAAATATTTTTATAACCTTTTCCGTAGAGGGGGGGGGTCAACTTCACTCTTTTCAAGTTTGTTTTATCTTACTTTGAGTGCATAGAACTGTTTTTTGAGACTGATATCTTCGTAAGGTTGTGGCTTAGTCAAGGCTAGTTTTCAAGTTTATTACATCTTACTTTGAGTGCATAGAACTGTTATTTGAGACTGATATCTTCGTAAGGTTGTGGCCTAGTCAAGGGTAGTTTTCAAGTTTATTACATCTTACATTTAGTGCATAGAACTGTTTTTTGAGACTGATATCTTCGTAAGGTTGTGGCTTAGTCAAGGCTAGTTTTCAAGTTTATTACATCTTACTTTTTAGTGCATAGAACTGTTATTTGAGACTGATATCTTCGTAAGGTTGTGGCCTAGTCAAGGGTAGTTTTCAAGTTTATTACATCTTACTTTTAGTGCATAGAACTGTTTTTTGAGCCTGATATCTTCGTAAGGTTGCGGCCTCATCAAGGTTAGATTTATTCACTCCTTCATCGATCACATAGGTTGTGTAAAAGAAGGTTCAGGTGAGGAGGATTGTGATTTCTCCAGAAAATTTTAAAATACTTTGTTCATATAGTTGGAGATGATTTTTTGAGTTTTCCTAGCATAGGTCTTGATCAGTTGAGGACCAGTATTAGCTGATTGGAACATCAGAGTAATCTTTGACACTTTGAAGGGAGCTTGCGTGGTTGCATGGAGTACAGCATGTAACTCAATACATTACCACCGTTTGGTAGTAAAAGTCTAATCCTCTGTTAGTACGTCTGAAAAACACTTAAGTCAAAGTGGAGTATTCTATCTTGACTTTTAATATCTTGCTGTGACTTTTAACTAAAATATAAACACGGTATGTTGCTAACAAAGTAGCAAATTGCTGGTTAGTTTTGTTAATAAATTGTAGAAGTCACTAAATAAATTGCTAGAACACATTTCTTAAGAAAGATTCCTACTGGTAAATATCAATACACTGTGCATGTCAACAATTGATATTGCAAGATCCTGAGCACAAGGTTACTATAATTGTGGTTAATTTAGATTCTTTTATTTACCGCTGCCATGTCAGTTTTGCAATCCAGTTTCAGCTATATGGAATATCCAGTCTAGGTATTGGGAAATGGGAATAGTATGATCACTTCCTCGTTTGATTTGATTTGTTGCCAAGGCAGTTGGCTAGCTGGTTAACCCTTTAACTGCAGAAAAGTGACTACAGTCGACGGAATCGACTTCTCTCCACAACCGTCAAAAAATTTTCCCTCTTCGGGGGAAAGCAAAACTCTCCATGAGCTTGAATTTACCACCAGACACCAGGTGTGCTGACACCTGGGAGAGTGAACAGGAAACTCGAGTATAAACAATCCTTCAGCTGGGGCCACAACTGTCAGACGTTGCAAGGCACCTACACACAGAGATATCATCTCATTGTCATATTTTCTCTGTGTTTTTACCATAATTAGTTAAGTTATTGACACCATAATTGAAGATTTAAGTGCGTCTTATTTATCATAATGTATAATACAGTGAAATATACTGCTAACTTACAACGTTTTTTGATGGAGAAATCACACTGATTGGGGACTAACCGTGAAATCTGATTATGCGGAGATGGTGAAAGGGTTAAGATTGATGGCGATTGGCCTCTGCTGTGCAAGTTTGCCGGGAGCTTGGTTAGAATTATTGTTGCCACGTGGTTGAAGTAATAATATAATAGAAATGAACACAAACTGCAGGTGTATTTTCTATGTTCTTTTTAATTTGTCCATAATTAACACAAATATTAGTCTTATTGGCTGGCAACTTTTGGTGAGTAAACCATAATTTTTAATAACAAAATCTATTTTTAGTATAAAGTGATGCAGTTAATATTAAAGTTATTTTATATTCAAAAATACTTGAAAATAAAACGACACCAAATATTTATACGCATAAATATAAGTGGTATATGTATTTATTAACTTTGAATATATGAAATAATTAGTTATGGGGTTCAAATCCCCGTCCCACCAAACATGCTCGCCCTTTCAGCCGTGGGGGCGTTATAATGTGATGGTCAATCCCACTATTCGTTGGTAAAAGAGCAGCCCAAGAGTTGGCGGTGGGTGGTGATGACTAGCTGCCTTCCCTCT